TACAAGTGAAAACTCTATTGTTACTGGCCTTTAACCATAGGGAGATAAAATGAGTACTTTTCGTACTATTTAGCACTTTTTGTACTCATATTATCTCCCTCTTGTTAAAGACCAGTAACATTAGAGTCCTCACTTATATATCATCTGTTTAAACTTCAATTTTATCCATAAAATAAAAATACATGCTTCAACATACAGTAGTTTCTCAGTATCTGGGGGGATTGATTCCAGAACTTTCTACAGATGCAGACACCAGAATCTGAGGATGCTCAAGTCCTTGATATAAAATTGTGTAGTATTTGTACGTATCCTATGCACATCCTCTTATATGCTTTAAGTCATTTCTAGATTGCTTATAATACCTAAAACAATGTAAATGTTTTAAAGTAGTTGTTATACTAAATCATTTAGGGAATAATGACAAGAAAAAAAAATCTGCAGATGTTCAGTACGAAAGGCAAGTTTTTACAAAAATACTTTTGATTTGTAGTTGATTGAATCCACAGATGCAGAACCCATGGATACAAAGGGCCAACTGCATGATAATATTGTATTAATTCAGATAAGTAATGAATGACAATAGACAAAGCAAAGATCGGTTTTGATGTTATATACATACAGCATTTTGTCGGAAAGTAGGTGCATTATCATTTGAATCTTTTACTGTTATAATACAAGTTGATGTACCAATCAATCCAAAAAATTGACCATCCATGTCTTGTACTTTCATTATCAATGTGTACTTGTCTACAACCTAAAGACAAAGCAAATATTTAGTCTTGAAAACTTTTGTTTACATCTATAAATGAAACCTCAATTGCACATTCTTCTATTTGTATATATCCATGTTTTTATTCCATTTCCACACCTGCATATATTCTAAGAATTTCGTAGACAAGATTAAGGCTGAAAAAGTAAGCAGAAGTTAAATTACAAAAAGCCATACTAAGAACTTAGACTTATGTTTTAAGTAACAGGTAATAAGGGAAAGTTTTATGGCAATCATGGGGGAGCACAAAATAAGAACATTTGAGTTTTAGAAAGAACATTCTTAAAGGAGATTGAGCATAATTTGGAGTGAGCTGAGCTGGGAATCAAAGCAACCAGTTAAAGACATCCTGCAACAGTTTAAGACAGGTGGTCCAAGTCTGAAGCAGTAGCAATGAGACAGAGAGAAAGGGTGACAGGAAAGGTACTTGGGAGTTAGAATAAAGTAGGACTTGATAAGAGATTTATATACAATTTAAGAGAGAAAGAGGGAGTTGAGACTGATGCTCAGGTGTCCCACCTGGATAGATAGGCAAACAGGGGGTACCACCAACCAATACAGAAAATGCAGAAAAATAGACAATTCTCTGAGGAAGTGAACACTACTGAGATTGGCAAAGAGGGGTGAAAATAATGAATTTTATTTTGCATATGTTGAATTTTATCTGCCTAAAGGAAATCTAAAGAGTAAAGTCCAGAAGGAACCTGCATATACGGCCCCACAGTTAAGGAAGAGATCGTGGCCATAAATACTGTTCTGGAAGACATCAGTATGTAGATGGTGATTGAAATTATGGCAGGAATCAGATTATTCAGAAGTTATCAGATAAGAAGAGTTGAGGATATAAGAAACAATAGCATTTCAAGCATGGGGGAAATAAGACTATGCAAAGGACACTAAAAAGGAAAGATCAGAAAAGCAGGAGGAGAACCAGAAACCTAAGGGAAGAGAGAATTTTAACAAGTGCCAAAAATAGGGACTTAAGGTAACCACTGGATTTGCCAATGAAGTTTGCAGATGGTGTGGTGATGGCGAAATGAAGTCATTAGTTTCCGATACAATCATATTTCTGCCTTTCTCTTTTATCTTACTATTCTTTATCCACCCCTTTTGTTCTTTTATTTTTTCTTCATTTTCCATTTCCCTCTATCTCTTTGCTCCATCTTCATTTTACTTGATCTTCCTTCTACATCGAAAACCTCCCGGAGGTGCTCCTCCCACAGGCTTCAGGATCTCTGATGCCGTTTTTATCCTCCTCTAAATTTATTGTTTCTTTCTTTCCCTTGTTCTTTTTTTTACTTCCTGTGTTGCTCTCCCAATACACTCCATGGTTATTCCCCATAAAATCCTGTTAGATTTTTTACCACCTGGAAAGCAAACCTGAGTTTGACCCCAAAATTGTATCTTACAAGCTGAATAGCCTTAAATTTAATTTTTCTAAACCTCATTATTTTAATTTGTAAAAAATGAGGGAAAACCCTTGTTTTCCCTTGATTACCACATCATCTTAACATAGTGCACAGATACAAAAGCACATTCAAATCGTCCCCTTCAAACTTTCCTATGTATTATTATCATTATATGCTTTATCACATAACATAAAATGTTCCAACCCTACAAGTAAAAATAATGATAACTGAAATCCTTGCTTTTGATTCCTTTACATAAGCTGCAGCCATCCCTTCCTTTTTTTTTTTTTTTTGTCATCGAATTCCACTGATTTCCTCTATCATATCTCTCACAGTCATATCAATCCTTCTATTTATATTATCCCAGTGGCAGTAGAAACCATTAAAGTGTTCCAGTAAAGCTATTTTGTACATATGAAATTGATTCATCTGCCTCAGTCAATAATGCATGTCTCTTAGTTAAATGTAGGCTGACCAAATGGCAGAGCAACAATAACAATGAAAGATGAGAAGATTCAGTCCAACAATTTGACATGGGCAACTCAATCAATCTTTCTGATCATCACATTTCTTTTCTATAGATTATATATAACACCGATCTTGTCAAACAGGAAATTACAAGGATCAAATAAAATTATGAATACAAAATTTGAACATTAAGTGCTATATACAAAACAATATGCTATTACCACTGTCCAAAAAGTGTTACAGATTTTTAATAACTCATTAATTTTATTTTAACTAATCTTATCCTAAGAAAAAGCACATATGTCAATAGTAACTGGATAGGGCTCAGGGTATGATCTACATTCATGGAGCATGCACTACCATTATCCTACATGAGGATTGAAACCTTTGCTGAACTGGAACCATGTAGCCAAACATAAAATAATATTCAATAATAACAATTTTCATAAGAAATATCTTTTTTTGGCTCACCCCTTCTAAACACCAATTGATCTGTATTTCTGTTCCTTACAGCTTCTCTTGCATAAGGAAATAAAAATAATATTTTTTAAAAATTAACAGAAAAACTGCTAGGAATTCTTATTGCCTTATGCCTAAAATAAAATCAGAAACTCTTAACCCACAGGATAGCGAATTACTAAATTATATTCTACACAGCGTGCAAGCTACCTCTCTGTCCATATACTGAGAGATTGTGGTGATTACGCCTGTGCTGGGATGCACAGAAAACAGCCCAGGAGATTTTGGTCTCTGCTCCAAAATGCTGTACTTCAGGCGTGTATGCATCGTGTCTGGTTCATCTCTGTCCGTGGCACAAACCACCCCCACTGTAGTACCTACATAGTAAAAAAAAAAAAAAAAAAAATGTGTAACTTCCAGAATTGCAAAATACGTTTCAAAGTACCTACATTTTAAAAATTTTACCCGCGATGGTGGAAACCTAATTTTAAAAATATTTCTTACCAGAATTATTACATCTTTAGATAGAACTAATCAAGATGTCTTCAAATTTATAACACAAAACACTTCGATGATGAAAATCAAGGTATACTTTTATTTTGCTCACAGTTTAAAATGTGATATAGTAAATCACTAAACAAATTAGTTAAATGGCAATCAAAAATAATATCAAAACATATCCTCACATATTGTAATAAAATGCCTAACTCGAGGGATGAACCATAATTCCTAAGTAACTCAGATTTTTTTTTTAAATTGGACTTTTGTTCAATAGCTAATTCAAGACCTGGTCTGAACCTAAAGATGTGATGCACTTAAATTATCCTGGGCTAATCTGGGCATCAAAGTGTTTGTCCTTGATTTTCCTCTGTTACTATTAAAGAGAAGAGAACCCTTAATGGAGTCTGAAACCAATCACCCATCTTTGAAAAAGGAAAAATGTAACAGAGTCACAGAATCATGAGACTAAAAACATCATAGGTCATCTAATGTAATGAACACCTTTTAGAGGTAAGAGAACTCAAAGGGACTTTCATGAGTTCCCACAAGGAATTAATAACAGCCCCTGCATCAAAAGCTAGCTTTCATACACTACAGTAAACATTTTACTATCTGTATATATCCCATAACATCATGCTGTAGACCACAAATACACACAAGAAAATTTATTTAGGGAAAAAAAAAAAACCCTAGGTTTCCTAGATTTCCAAACCAATGATTTTTTTGCTTTTTAAATGGTACACGTGAGTAGTAAAGAGGTTAACGCTGACGACATCAAATTATCAAAGTAAAATATAAAGGGAAAATCAGATATAAGAATGCAATGAAGATCTAAGTAACTACTAGAAACTTTAATAAGGTAGCAAATTCATCTTTTATGATGGAGTCCATGTTCTTTCAACTTTATGGTGAGTGGTTATTCTCCTATTACAAGTCTCAGAAGATATCATGAAAATCATGTTTAAAGGCCAAGTTAACTGACATACTTTGGGTTTCCACATGTGACAGCAATTGTTTAGGATGAAGAGCATGTGATGTACGTTTCTCTATAGTTATTCCAGCATTCAATCTAAACTGGAAGTGGTGAGGTAGTAATTTTAAGAGAAGAGATAACATATCCTCAGTGGATGTCATTCAACACCTCCCTAAATAAAACTGCATTAAAATATCTATATTGATCTTAGTTTTATTATCCACCCCACCCTGCAGGTGCTCTCTTGGAGCTGATAATAATGATAAACCCACATAATGAGAAAATGAAATAAAGCATATAAACCAAATATGGTATAAAGTTTGAATAAGTGTAAGTTGGCACTCTAGTTAATTAGTATTAGATTAACACCACCAAAAACTCCTGTAATATTTGGTAAGGTACATATTGATGGGAATTGATGGGAGTAAATGCTTTCTGGTAAGTAGATACCAGTCCAATGTCATTGCAGGATAACCTGGCCTTGAGTATAAAATGCTCAATGTTTCAAAAAATGTACACAAACACATTTAACATGAAAGCAGCCTTACCAAGTCTACTACTTTCTGGAATTTCAAAGTTATAAATTACTTCTGTGAAAACAGGATGGTTGTCATTTTCATCCTCCACTTTGATGGGCAGTGGAAGAGGTAAATCTGCTGAATACCCATCTGCAGTTGACGCATAGGCAATCAACTACAAAACAGGAAAAAAACAAGATCAATAGTCCATTAACATCAGATTCTAGCAAACTGAGAATAAGGTGCTCTACTACCTTCTCTGCAAAGCTTTTCAATAATAAGTCACCTCAAAGATTTTTATTCAATGCTTTTTAAATTATCAAAGTGTCAAATGGAGAAACACTACAGCAAAGAGCATCCGGTATTTGGCAGAAATGGCCACACTTCAAGCAAAACCTGTGTCAGAGGACAGAAAAGTCAGGCATGACTCTCCATTATTTTGAGGAATTAAATGTGAATAGAGCCTCAGATGATAGTCCTTTTTCTGCCCATAGTCAGAAAGTTACATTGGGTAGAACAATTAAACCCACTGCAATGAGAAAAATCTCTACTCCATAATCTAAATAAAGCAAAGATTCCCAATCTTGTCACTTTCAAACCCTATTACTGTTTTATCTCATAGACCACATATTTGCAATAGTTTTTCTAACAAAATAAACTTACTAATTTCTCATTGCTAGTTAATCAAAGGCACTGTAAGTTCAAATAGAATGTATTACTATTTAGCATGTGATTACAACATTAAGTTGAACATTTTCTAACCAAAAGCAAAGAATGCCACATGGGAAACACCAATCACATTTCCTCACCCAGCATCTCTTCTCTCTAGGAACGGAATCCCTCTTTCCAATGGGGAATCATTCTCTATGAACCACAGGGATGGCACATGACTCCATAGCATTTACCACATTACACTGAAAATTGGTTACGTCATTCCCCATTGACCGTAAGCTCATCCACATCAGAATGCTAGCTTATTAACCCTTATTTTATTTGAGTTTGATCTCCCACTTTTTTAGTTGTCAGACATGATCTGAGAATCATACATGTGGAAGAAAGATAAAAAAGGTAGTTTGACCAGCAGAGAAAGAGTATCCTTCCAATGGGTTGTGGACATATCCTAGAGACAGGAAAATGTACTAGTGACCACAAAGAGAGAAAGTGTCTCATAAGCGAAATTAAGTTCCTGGAAATTTCCTGGAATTTACATTCAAATAAAACTAAACCTCTTTGCTTCATTTCAGGCTTACCTAATTGAAGTTGAGATAAAGATCCAATCGAGTATTTCGAAATATTGCACATTCTACTTTCCTTTGATTTTAAGATACCCTCTAAGAATAAAATGCAAGGAGACAGGAAAGAGTAGATAGAGAGAGACTGTCGGAAGAAATATAGTGTAATAATTTAAAGTCATGTATATCAATAAAACTCCTACATCAAAAACATCATATTCTTCACGATCCACGGGTTGGGTACAAAACAGATTTCCAGTGTTTTTTTCTATGAAAAACAAATTTAGTGGTTCTTGGTCAACTCCACGCCCACTTATTGAGTAAAAGATGGTATAGTTCTGTGCTGCATCAGATTGAACCTAAAAGGAAAACAAAACATATTAGTAACATTTTTAAATATAATTCAGTTAAAAATGCAGCTGATGTGTTCATGTGTGTGTGTGTGTGTGTGTGTGTGTGTGTGTGTGTGTGTGTGTGTGTAGTGTGTGTAGTGTTAAAGAGAAGATTTCAGTAGAAAGAATAGCAAAGAATGATAATACCCATTGTTGGCAAAGGTGAAGCAAACAGGCTCTCAGGTCCATACAGGTGAGGGGAATGCAGATTGGAATGTACCTCATGGAGGGAAACTGACAAAGTAAAAAGAATGAGCTATGAGAATAAATAGGGAAAACTTCCTGGCAGAGGAAACAGGAATGCACAGGAACCAGGCTGTGGTTGTGCTTGGGGTGTTCACAGAACAGCAAGGAGGCCACTACGGTTGGAGCAGAAAGAGCCAGGAGGAAAGAAAAAAGGGATGAGGAAGTGATGGTAATGGGGGCCACATCATGTAGGTAATTCCAAAGCTTTTCCCTGGAGTCAGAAGGAGAACCCCTGCAGAATTTGAACCAGAATAACATCATTTAACGTTTTAAATTACTGTTTAATTTAAAAATATTTAATCGACACAGATTGTATGTATTCAGGGTGTACAACATGATGATTTGATATGTATATACATTGTGTAGTCATTATCACAATCAAATTAGCACACAATCACCACATGCTATGCATTAGATTCCTAGAACTTGTTCATCTTATAACTGCACGTTTATACTCTTTGATCAATATCTGTCCATTTCCCCCACTCCCAGGCACTGGCAACCAAGGCTGCTTGACTTTTTTAGATTCCACATAGAAATGAGATCTCACAGCATTTGTCTTTTTGTGTCTGGCTCACTGCACTTACCATAATGTCCTCCAAATTCATCCATGTTGCTGTAAATGGTGGGATTTCTTTCTTTTTTATGGTTGAATACTATGAAATGAATACACACACACACACACACACACAACAATTTCTTTATGCATTCATCCATCAGTGAACACTTAGGCAGTTTCCATATCTTCTTGACTACTGTGAATAATGCTGCAATGAACATGGAAGTGCAGATATCTCTTCAAGCTACTGATTTAACTTCCTTCAGATATATACTCAGAAGTGGAATTGCTGGATCTTATGACAGTTCTATTTTAAATTTTTGGAGAAACCTCCACACTGTTTTCCATAATGGCTGTACCAATTTACACTTCTACCAATAGTGTACCAGGCTTTCCTTTTCTCCATATCCTCACCAATACTTGTATTGCTTGTCTTTTTTGACAATAGCCATCCTAACAGGTATGGAGTGATATCACATGTGGCTTTAATTTGCATTTAGTGATATTGAACACCTTTTCATGTACCTGTTGGCCATTTGTATGTCCTCTTTGGAGAAATGTCTATCCAGGTCCTTGGCCCATATTTTAGTCAAATTATTTGTTCTTCTGCAATTGATTTGTGTGAGTTCCTTATATAAACTTAGATATTAACCCCTTATCAGATATATGGTTTGCAAGTATTTTTTTACATTTTGTAGGTTTCCTAAAGGGTATTTTTTTATATTTTAAAAGGACAAGAGCCTTTAGCCCTTTACCTTTATAGTTCTCAAGAATTGTAGTTCTACATTCTAATTCAGATTTAACATTAAAGCATTTTTACTTATTTTTTTACCCTGGAATCTTTTCTCTTACCACTGAAAATCATGGTTCCTTATAGTATTTATTAATCACTTATTTATACTATTCTATTATGTATTTTAAAATAATGTTCAAAATAATACCAATATTACTATGAATAGAATACTGAATGAAATTTAACATTTCCTAACAGCTTGGTTTCTTCTGAGCACATATACCACTAGTAATGTATAGTCAAAATATTATGTTCTGAAGTCACTTGAAATAAGTTTTTTTCCCCTCTTTGGTTTTATCACCAATTTAATACACAGAATGTCTGTTTGTTTTCAATCCCTATAAGGATTGCTTTGCTTCTTTATGATTCACTTTTCTTTTTTTGAATATGTAAAACCTATTTATGTTTTCAAAGTCAAAACTTTATAACAAGAGAAGTCTCATTTCATCTCTGTCCCCTACAGATTATTCTCTCCTGCCATTGATAGCTATTTTTTAAAAATTTGTTATTGATTTATCCTTTAGTTTTTTTTTCACATATCAGCCAATCTATATATTTTTTCATATTGTCCTTTTTCACAAAAAGTAGCATTCTATATACACTGTTGTGTAGCTCACTTTGTCACTTAAAAATATGCATAAAAATGACTCTTCGTTAGTTCATAAAGCTTTCCCATTCCTTGTACAACTGAATAGTATTCCATGTCAACACTCCATGATTTATGCAGCCCCTTACTGATGGACATTGGGTTGCTTCCAATTTTTGCTTCCAATTATAATGCCTCAATGCATAATCTTATGTACAAGTCATTTTCTATTTTTGTCAGTGCATCTAGAGGTGGAAGTGCCGGGTGAAGGTAAACGAGAGTGTGATTTTTCTGGATACTGGCAAACTCTTAGCAAAGATATCACTTTAGAGTCCCAGCACTTATATGCTCCTATAAGAGTTAAATAGCCTTTTCAAAGCTAATTGGAATCTTCTCAGTCAGTTACTGCATACATTTTATGGGGAAAATGAGTTTTCCTCATAAAAGAAAAGAATGCAGAATAGAGAGAAATACTTCCCCTTTAATGAGACTGGATTGGGAAACATCTGTCTGCCCACAGGGGTGCTCTGAGGAAGTCCCAGGAAAGCTGCTCATTTGTGAGAACAGATGTTTAAAGTCTGAAAGACTTTGTGTGAGATGAAGTACTTCTGCTGTTTCTTTATTAAAGCCCATGAGTAAATCTGTGGATATCCTATTTCAGAAGGGGCTGAGTCCAGCCTCTGCTCAGACGGGAAGGCCATCACGGGTATTGAAGACTCTGGGGTATGAGGTGAGAGTAATATTAAAAAAAACAAAAAGGAAAATACTTGCTGCTTTGTTAAGAATAGAATCAGGTGGATGGGTGAGGAAAGAAGCAGAGAAACCACTTAGAAATTCACTGCAAAAATCCAGGAGAAAGATGACTGCTTATTAGACAAACATGGTAGTGGTAAGAGTGGTGAAAAGTGATTAGATTCTGGATATAACTCAAAGGTACAGCCAACAGGATTTGCCAATGGGTTGATATATAATGTAAAGATAAAAGTCAAGGGTGACATATATCAGAGGGTGATAGAATCCCCAAATATCTATTCTGCTCATCTTCTTTAGAATTTATAGCTGAGCACAAGGTTACCCAGAGAATGGCATTTCTCAGCCTCCCTTGCAATTAGGTACAGCCACATGAAAAGGTCAAGGTCAGTGGGATGTAAGACCCAGACTGTGCTCTAGTAGGTGAAGGAGGGTGTTCTCCCTTTGGTCATAGTGATGAGCCATCTCGAACATGTAGGGATGGCCAAACTAAAAAATAAGAAGCATGGGTCCCTGGGGTTTTCTCAGATTAGGACCTCTATACCAGGTCACACATTACATAACAGGAATAAACCTCTGTCTTGCTTAAGCCACTATTACTTGAGATCTCAGTGAAATGCAGCTCTACCATATCTCATAATAACACAGGAATTAAAAGTTTAACTGTGAGAAGAATAGATAAATATGGTAAATTAGGGTTCAACATCTATATCATTTTCTTTTGCCATGTCTATTCATAGTGTAGATGATAGAAAGATTCAAGCCAAAGCAAACTAAAAACTACATTTTCCAGAAACTCTTGAAACCAGAGTTCTGTATTTAAAAATGGACAGTCAGATGTGCTTGCACAAAATTTGAAAGCCGTAAGTGAGGCAGATGTCTGGTTTTTGCTAAGCAGCAGTTTCAAAGCATTTGTTTTCTTTATTTCTTCTTCCTTTTTTTTCTGCAGCAGAAGAAATTCTAGTAGTGATTCGCCAACTCTGTAGGCGTTGAGAGACTGAGTGTGGGTCAATCCTCTTGCTGACATGCAGTGGAGCAGTTCAGAGGTTGTTTTGGAGCTGTAAGAGAAGCAGCTTCCTCATAGTGGTGATTTCCTGACAGTGGTAGTGGCACTTTGGTTCTAAAATTAGTGCTCCAATGCCCCAACAACTAGAAGGATTGAACTGCCATTAACTGAGATGAGAGTATGTTTTTAGGAGAAAAACCAAGCATTTGATTTGTATGCATTTGAAACATTTATTAAACTTTCAGGTGGAAATATCAACAGGCAGTTTAGCCTAGAAAAATGAAGTCTCAAGTATCCAGTGTTTAAATAGTACTTAGAGCCATGAGATTGGATGAGATCCCCTGAAGAGTGAATATAAATAAACAAGGGACAAGGTCCATGGACTGAGCCCTGGAGTTCTCCCAAGTTTAGAGACATGGGGGGCGGAGGGGGATGGGGAAGAACCAGAAAAACATACTAAGGAGTGGCCCATGAGGTTCACAGAAAAATAGGTGAATGGTGTCCTAGAAGCCAAGTGAAGAAAGTATTTCAAAGAAGAAGGAAACATCAACTATCTCAAATGTACATATGTCAAGGACATGAGGACTGAGAGGCAGTGATTGATTTAACAATGCAAAGGCTAAAATTAGCTATGATTAGCATAACTTTGGTAATCAAAAATCAATTCTTAATATGCCTCATCAGTGTTTAAAGTACAATACTCTTGAAGAAGAAACAAGGGTCTAGCACTGAATAGAGTAAAAAATAAGTGTGAAAGACTCTGGCAGGAGAGTTAAAAACGTTAAGTAGAAAGCAGTTCACACCACTGGTATTAAACAGCAATCACAGTAATAGAAATATATGGGGGAAAAGGCAAGTACAAAGCCATAGCCTTACTTCAGTAATTGTTTCAGTTGTGTGTGTCCCCTGTAGCTCTTAATGAAAAGCAGACCTGATCGTGTCATTAGCCTGTTTAAAACCTTTTCCTTGTTTTTAGGATAAAGTTAAACATCACAGCAGAAGCAGACAGCCCGTAAGTTTGACTCCCACCTGCCTCTCTTGCCTCACCTCCCTGCTCCACCCCCATCATGTCTAGAAAAGCCAAGCTCCCCATAGCTCCTCTACAGAGCCATGCCTGCTCTCGCTTCTGTACTTCCCTCTTCTTCCACAATTATTTACCTGCACAAAACTTGCTTATCCTTCAGGACTCAACTCAAATGTCTCCTCCTTTAAGGCTTTTCTTGTTTATTACCACATTATCTCAGGGCTTGTGTTTAGTCCATGTGTTACCAGATCACCCCAAAGACATCTCTATCATGGCACTCGCCACTAAGTATAGTAATCACTAGCCTACTTCAGTCTCCTTCACTAGGCCAATAAACCACATGAGAGCAAAGGCCATGACTAAATTTATTTCTGTCTTTACTACCTACAGCAGAGCCTTTCACAGGATACAGTAGGTTCTCAATAACTACACACTAAATGAATGAATAAACAAAGAAAGATCATTCGATGGCCTTAGAGTCTCTTATGTTATTAGCTTTTTGGTGATTTTCTTTGTCTCATTTCACTCTCTTTTATTACGCTTCATGAACATCTTCAATCAGATCTGTTTATTTTTAAATGTTTAAAGAGTTATTAAGCCTGAACAAAACAGACTCTGAATTACAGCACTCCCAATCAGAAGGAATGTGTACCTACTTGTTGAAGAAATAAAGGGAAAGGGCCCAAAGAATTCTCTTGCATTGAACAAGGAATAGGCGCCCATCTCCTCTTGGCACGCCTGAGGACAGTTTCTTTAGTATGTCTTTTCTTCAATACCTGAATTTAGAGAAAGAATAAACAGATGAACAAAAGCATCACAGTCGATTATGTTATAAAAGGGTAGACAGCCCACAAACCTAATGCCTCTTTGGAGGGTCAGTCTCAGAAATTTCCATGCTGAAGGTAAACTAGTTAATAAAGTTTGCATTAGAAGGGAAAAAAGAATGTATCCATATTTTAACAGTTTCATAAACTAGAGAATTTCCTTTTGTGTATCCTTCTAACACTGACCATACTCACAGGTTAAGAAAATCATCTCTATACTCTTAGTTCTTCTTTCTGTATCCCAAATAGAGGCAGAGGACACATCCTGTCTATAACAGTCTCTAGAAGACACTTACCTGCTCTTTCTGTTAAAATGCCATTCTTTCAAGTGAACCAGAGAAAGAAACTATATGTCCCTGACTGCTTTACTGCTCTGTCTGCACTGTCCATCACGGCAGCCACCAGCCACCACTAGCCATGTGATTATTTAAATTGAAACTAACTAGAATTAAAGAAAATAACAAGTTCTATCCTTCAGTTGCTGCATGCCAACTGCTCAGTAGCCATTGATACTGAGCTGTCATATCAGACAGTGCAGACTACAGAGCATTTCTTTGTTGCAAAAAATTTTATTACACATTTTAGTGATGTCCATCTCATTTCATAATGTAGCAAGGAAGACATTTTATTTCATGAGAATTAATCAGTGAATAATTTTATCAAACATTTAATAAAGTGCTATGCAGTCATTTACATTAGCTTTATCATTAACACAATTAACAAAGATTAGGTGTAAGCCAGCCTAAACCTTTCATCATTTTGTGATATTTCATAATGGTATTCCTCTTGATAAATTGTGTGTTGTGTGTGTGTGTGTGTGTGTGTGTGTGTATCCTTTCATCATTTTGTGATATTTCATAATGGTATTCCTCTTGATAAATTGTGTGTTGTGTGTATGTGTGTGTGTGTACACACTTTTGCATGCTATTGCACAGCATGGGAAATATAAGAGTATTGTACCTTTCCAAATTGTGAACAGAGTGAATTTCAAATGTTCTCACCACAAAAAAATGTTGAGTATATGAGGGGATGAATATATTCATTAGCTTGATTTAATTATGCCACATTGTGTTCATAAATTATAACATCACTGAAATAAATGTACACAATTATAAATTGTTAATTTACAACTTTAAAAATTCTGATTATTGTAACACAGGTGTGACCAAACTGACACTGGTGCACAAAAGCCATTAGTTAATCAATTTGGAGGTGAAAGAAGCCTTCACAGAGGAGGTATTACTTAGATTTAACAAGGTAAAAACAAAGCTAGTGTTTCCCTAGTGTTAAGAAAGGGAGCAAAAGAGAAAGAGAGGGAGAGAGGGGAATAGATGAAAGAAGGGAAAGGAGAGGAAGGAAACGTGAAAGAAAAGAAAAGGGAAAAAGACCCTATTTATCCTTTGGTCTTCTTTGTTACCTTTAATAAGAATATTTTAATTAAAAGAAAAACATGACTAAAAATATTCAATGTACTTTGCCTACCTTCCTCTGATGTTTCAGGAGCACAGTAATCTCTTTCTGTATCTGTTTCTTTGTGTCAGAAAGCAATATGGTGAATGACATTTTCTCATCAGACAACACAACAGCTCTAACTGTGTACACCGACCCATCATCTAGAACTCTGAAATCAGAATCACTTGAATGGATGAAGTCTGCAGACCTGAGGCACTCTTTCAAATTAACTGCAGGTAAAAAATTCCAAGTTGTAAGGTAGAGATGCATGCAAACAACAACAAAAAAAAGTGTTAAAAGAATTTATACAATCTTCTTGAAAATCATAAAGTCAAATGAAATAAACCAATCACTTTACATTTACAAAATATCTTAACCCGTCTTTCTGCATTATTAAAAAAACGATCATTTTCTTTCAGTTAAAAACTAATAATTTTTGATTGTATATTTCTATTAAATAAGACGTTTTAAATGTTGATATGCTTCTAATAGTGTTATGGAAATGATCTTCCAATTAAAAAGGTGTGTACATTACAATCATGACAAAGCTTAGCTACACGCCCCACACACACCTGAATAAACAAGTAGAAAAGTTTCCTTAACAATACGGTCTGAGTCTTTTAAGACACACTTATCTTCAGCCAAAAGTTATGTACATGAATCCTAAGAGCATGGAGTGTATGTGTTATGCAAACAGTCAAGTAAGGAAAATCTGTCTCTGAATTCTTCCCACTGGCACTTTCCTGTACATTTTTCCTCCCTGGAGGCCCACAGTTCTCTACGTGTTCCCAAATTTCCAGAGTCCCCTACTGAAACTCTACATTGGGTCTTCCCTCCTTGGGAACTTCACCCTGTAGTAAAAGGTAATAAAATACAAGAATCAAAAATGTACCTGTCTTCCCCGAATTCTTCAACTATCTGCCTTAACAGACACCAAACTGAAAAATTAATAGTCATTTAAGTAATAACCTCCCAAAGGATTCATATGCTACCCATGTACAGTATTTTCACTTTAATCCAAATCTGTCACAAGTGGAAACGTTTAGCCAAAAAGATGTGAATATCTTTAGGGACAATGACACATTTCTGTCATCTTCACATTTTTAGCAGAATAAACTCTTGCTTACTCCCCTGGAGAAACACCCCTCACCTCTCTTTACATCCTTTTATTTCCTTCCTCACCACAGCAAGAAAAATGACATTTGCTTAATAAAATTATATGAGCGCACATTAACCAAAAATGGGACACATTATTCAAAAAGTAAATTTGGTATCTCTGGGACAAGTTATACCTCTTTTAAAAAGTATGATGCTTACTGCAATGTTCCCTATACCCACATGGAAAGACCACCTCGTGGACAGAGCTTTCCAGTAGTTGGGAAAGTTTGAGGCTCCCCAGCTTCTCAGTGCTTAGTGTGCAAACGGTTGATTAAGTTCAGTTTTGAATGAAACAGCTCACCTTGTTATGTTCTTCAATGCAACCATAGCACCAATAAAAATACTGCTCTGATTCTCTTAGCTCCTTATCTACATTTCTCTAATGCTTAGAGTCATAGAGTAATGAAAGTGCTGTGTTTTATATGTCATAATTTATGTAATTTTAAAATTGTTAAAACATAAATGACTACAAAACCATGCATTAGGTCATTTGCACTAGAATCAACTACAGAATTCAATGCAGTCCTAAAGAGCAGAAACTGTATGTAAAATGATCTCGAACTGTGACTACCTATACGTAGATTCACACTTACTCCAAAAGGCAAAGATGGGATGTCATGTTCTTTCCAGCCTAGGTAAACTAAATTTTTATTTTAAAAAGACTTGTGAAATTTCTCACCTCTGCCAACCATTTTGTCTGCTTCCAGTTTAGATGGTACATTAAATATCACCTTTCTGCAGGCTTCCCCATCAAAACTGAAGACCTAGATAAAAAAAAAAAGTTCACATAAATAAGTATAAAATAAAGAACAAAGGGCCGGCCCGGTGGCGCACTGCTACAGTGCACCGTTGGGAGCGCGGTGGCGCTCCCACCGAGGGTTCGGATCCCACATACAGACCGGCTGCTCACTGGCTGAGCAAGGTGCGGGAGCAACACCGAGGGTTGCGATCCCATTGCCGGTCCCGGTCCGGTACGGGCGCAACACTGAGGGTTGCGATCCGTTGCCGGTCACGAAAAAAGACAAAAAAAAAAATAATAATTAAAAAATAATAATAAAAAATCAAATAAAGAACAAAAACCACACAATCATCTCAATACATGCAGAATAAGCAGTTGACCAAATCTAACACCCATTTACAATAAAAACCCTCAAGAAACTAGGAATACAAGGGGACTTTCTCAGTATGATAAAGGGCATCTATGAAAAATGTACAACTAACTCCACACTTAATGGAGAAAGGCTGAATGCTCTCCTCTAACATCAGGATCAAGACTATGATGTCTGCTCTCGCCACTTTGTGTGGAACTCACAAAGCTCCAACACTGTCCTGGAGCTTCTATCCAGGGAAATTACATAAGAAAGCAAAATTAAAGACATCCAGATTGGGAAGGAAGAAGTAAAATGGTCTCTATTCACAGATGACATGATCTTTTATATAAAATCTCCTAAGGAATCCACTGAAAAACTATCAACAGTAATAAATGAGCTCAGCAAGGCTATAAGATACAAGATCAACACACAAAAATCAACTACATCCTGTACATTAGCAATGAAAATTCTGAAAACAAAATCAAGCAGACAATCCCATTCACAATAGTATCAAGAAGAATAAATATTTAGGAATAATGTGAAGTTGAACACCCAACTCACACCGTACATAAAAATTAACTCAAAATGGACCACAGACCTAAATGTAAGAACTAAAACTGTTGGGCCTTTAAAAAACTAACACCACCTTAAAGTGACATTACAAGTGGATTAACGTGGCAGCCTAAGACGGCGCCGGGAGAAAGCAGGGTGGGAGTGTCTGCGGGAACCTTGCCTTAGCCCTTATTGGACACACTTGTGAACACTGCGTAATTGCAATAGCTAGGTATTGAGACAGGATGCATGTCCTTAACCCTTAAGCTGATTGGAGGATGTAAAAAACCTGCCTTTGCCATTTACCTTTAAAAGCCAATGCTTGTGTGTTAGTAAACGGAACTGCTTTGACAGAATCCCCACCGCGTCTGAATGTCCTTTAACTGGGCTGGTTTGGGGCCGGTGGTGTGCTCACCTCTCTTCACGGCTCTCTTCCCCTGTCTCCTTCAAAAGGGGACTGGAGGGAAAGAGGAATCCCGGGCCGTTGGCTCGCCCACTGAAAGGAACGAGGCTAGGGCTGTACGAGTCGGCTGCTGGTGGCGGACCCGACAAAAACTATTTAAAGGAAAACTTAAGAGTAAATCTTCATGATTCTGGGTTAGACAATGATTTCCTACATATATCACCAAAAATACAATGCTAAAGGAAAATGAATAAACAGGATTTAATCAAAATTAAAAACTTTTGCTATCCAGAAGATAACATAAAAAAGTAAAAATACAACAGATCGAATGGAAGAAAATATTTTCAAATCATATAACAATAAGAGACTTGAATCAAAAAAAAATCTTACAACTCAATAGAACAAAGACAAATAACATAAAAATGGGCAAAGAATTTGAATAAATATTGCCATGGATTGAATTGTGTCTCCCAAAGTCATGTATTAGAAATTTAATCCCCACTGTGATAATGTTAAGAGGGTGGGAGGGCCGGCCCGTGGCGCACTCGGGAGAGTGCGATGCTGGGAGGGCAGCGGCGCTCCCGCCATGGGTTCAGATCCTATATAGGGTTGGCCGGTGCGCTCACTGGCTGAGCATGGTGTGGGTGACACCAACCCAAGGGTTGCGATCCCCTTACCGGTCACAAAAAAGACAAAAAAAGACAAAAAAAGACAAAAAAAGACAAAAAAAGACAAAAAAAGACAAAAAAAGACAAAAAAAGACAAAAAAAGACAAAAAAAGACAAAAAAAGAAAAAAAAAAAAAAAAAAAAAAAAGAGGGTGGGAAATCCTATTATGGTAATTGAAAGGTGGGGCCTTCAAGAGGTGATTAGATCATGAGGACTATGCCCTAGTGAACAGATTAATTCATTAATGGTTTAATGGTGGAAATCGGTGTGGTTCTGACAGCTTAATAAGGAAAACAAGGGAGGAAATTAGTCTCTCTCCAGCTCAATCCATTCACCATGTATCACCCTGTGTCACAGTAGAGCTGCCACCACTGAGGCCCTCATCAGATGTGCCCCCTGGACTGTGGACTTCCCAGCCTCCAAAACTATAAGAAATAAATACTGTTCTTTATCAATTACACAGTTTCAGATATACTGTTTAATAAGCAACAGAAATGGACTAATAATAAACAGACATTATCCATAACAGATATGCTAATGGCCAATAATCAGATGATAATATGTCCAACATTGTTAGGCATTAGGGAAATGCAAATCTAAACCACAATGAGATACCCACTCAGAGAGCTAAAACAAACAGGACAAAAAATAACAAGTGAAAATACTGGAACTCTTGGAAAACAGTTTGGCAGATTCTCAAAAAGTTAAATGTAAACTTAACTTATGATCCAGCAATTTCACTCTACCTAAAAGAATTAAAAACCTATGTCCACACAAAAACTTGTACATGAATATTCATAGTACATAGCATTATTCACAACAGCCAAAAAGTGGAAGCAACCCACATGTCCATCAACTAGTGAATGGATCAACAAAATGTAGTATATACATACAATGGAAAGTCATTCAGCTCTAAAAAAGAAACAAAGTACTAATACATACTACAACATATATAAACCTAAAAAACATTATGATCAGTGAAAGAAACCAGACACAAAAGACACATATTGTATGATTTTATTTATACGACATCTTCCAACCACGAGTAGATTCGTGGTTGTCTAGGACTAAGGGTAGGAATAGGGAATGGTTATAAACGGGAAAGAGACTTCTTTTGAAGGTGATGAAAACCTTCTAAACTTAGACCGTGGTGATGATTGTACATACTGTAAATTTGCTAAATTTCATTGAATTGTACACTTTACAAGGGTGAATTTTATGGAATGCAAATTATATCTCAATAAAGCTTTTTAAAACAAAAGAGGACACATTGTCATTGATAGAAAAACAATTCTTTCCACATTTACCTCTACAGATTGGCAGTGAGAGGCTCTTTCAAATTTACGAATTTATTGACATAAGTAATTTCAGCAAAATAAAATAGAACAATAACCACAACAAAGTATTTCATTTCTGATATAATCAAAAATAAAACACATTTCTACAAGAAGTTAAAAGATTTTAATTCATGGTAACATAATTGTAAGTATATGTATATGTAAATATATACATAATAAGAATTCTTCTAATGTGTGCTGTACAGGTTACTGCTCTTCTCAGAGATGTACCTTACCCTTGCTTGAATTAGTTAAGGTTAAAGAAAACACTTCAAACATGGGACAAATAGGGTCAACATGTTATAGTGTTGTTTAATTTAAATATAATTAGCCAAAAGTCATTTTCAGGAAATCATAATCAGATTTCTAACTGAGAAAATGAAGTAAACTGTTTTCCCTTCAAAAAATTTTGACCAGATTATACAGGATCAATTTAATATTGTCCTTAAGCATATAGTTGTCAGCTTGGGGTGAAAAATGGTTTACGTTAACAATGCACGTATTGGTCCAAACCTATTTTAATTCTGTATTTGATATTTTTGAATTGTATTGGAATTGGAATATATTCCAGTAATTCTAATATATGTCAATAATTCCATTGGAAGCCACGTCCAATATATTTTAATCACATCTCTTTTTAAAATATTTTTAGTTACTGTGAAATATTTAAATCAAATAAAACATAGTTTAATAAATGTTCAATACCCTTTGAGACTTTTAGAAAATTAACATTTTGCAATTTTTGCCTCATTTTTTAAACAAAATTTACGTATGTGGCTAGAGTCCTACATTCTATTCCATTTCTATCTCTTCTCCAGAGAATAGTTTCTTCTGAAGCTGGAGTTTATACTTCTGTAGAGTTTTATACTTTTATTATACATGTATGTGCCCATAAAATATAGGCTGGTGTTGTGTAGTATGTATTTATATGCATTCCTTTGCAATTTGCTTTTTTGACTCAACAACATGTTTGAGATTTTTCCATGAGTTCATTTTAATCATTCCCCTATTGATGGTCATTTAGGCTGTTTTCCATTTTTTCTATTACAGATGATAATGCAGTGAACAGCCTTGCAGGTGCAAGATGTCGATACATATCTCCAATAAAAAGTGCTGTGCCATATATGAACACCTTCAATTTCATTAGCTATTGCCAAGTTCCTCTCCAAAGTACTAATATCGGTTTACATTAATGCCTTTGGAGTATAAATCTGTCTCTCAGATCCTCTCCTTCAATTAATTTTATGACTTTTTAAATTTTTGCTAATCTAATGACTGCGGTTTTAATTTTCACTTCATAATTTCTCATGAAATTGAGCATCTTTCCTTGTGTTCATTTGCCACGGATCTGTAAATTGTCTATTCTTTACCTCTAATCATTTCTCTGTGAAGTTTGTCCTTTTTTAATTTACCTTTTACTTGTAGGTTTATGTGGTTTGTTTTTTCACTTTTTGTGGAATCTTTTGGTAAACAGAGTGTTTCTATTTTAAAGTAGTCAACTTTATGAATCATTTCTGCTGACCTGGATTTTTGTGTATTATTCAAGAACTCCTCCTCTATCCTAAGCATATTATTCAATATTTTCTTTTAAAAATTGTTAAGTTATTTCTAACTTTTAAATATTTTACCCACCTAGAATGTGTTTGTGCACGGTTCATCTTCACTATATTCTCTTTTGCCATTACAGATAGCCAACTGATCCAGAACCACCAT